GCCAGGAATTATTTTGTGTTTTTCTTATCTTCCTCAGTCTCCTCCTTCCTCTTTCCACTCTCCAACGTGGGGAAGAAGATTGGGGTAGGGGACAAGTGTAATTCCTGATGAAGTTCTAACATTTCCCAAACTCATTCCACCCAATGGCTCAATCCAAGTTCAAAATGCAAAATGAATTAACAGTTAACATGGATGCAATAATTCAGTTCACTGCACAGGTACTTTGTTTTTTGTCTTTCAAAAATGTATGGCTTTTTTCTTTCTCTAGAGGCAGTTTCTTTTTGATCTTTAAATAGTAACTTAAGGTTAAACCACAGAATAATGTTTTTAAGAATGAAAACTATTCTGATAATTTTAGGGTAGCTGGTTGGGAGAAAGATTCATGAAAAATTCAGGTGGAAACTTTTCTTCACTCTTTTGTTTAGAGGTCTTCAAATTTTTCTTAGAGCTCTTTTTTTCCTTTTCTTTTATCTTAGAGGAAAAATGGTAGATTCCATGATTGCGTTTTAAAACAAATGCTTAGTTAAAAATAATATCCAATTTGGCCTTAACTAGTGCATAGCAGAAATAACAAAAGGCAGTTAATGTGGTAGGAACTAAATGCCCATGTCAAGTTGCCAGCGCATTATCTTTGTGTCTTTTACAAGGAGGACTTCACTTGCTGAAATGGCTCTTGACAAAGTTAAGTGGGCCCAGATATTGTTTGGGAAATTGCCCTTATTTTGTGTGCTTCTTGTTCCAGTAATGGAACCCATGAGCAGTAGATAATTGTAGCGGCCTCATCTATCAAATAATATTAGAAGTCAACAGCTATAATCTGAGCCACTCGCTTTACACAGCTTTTCTCTATATTTTCTGTTCAAATTGTCAGTTGTTACCTGTAAGTGTCCCCATTCCCTGTGGTTGATGGAAGCAAAAAGATTTAAGTAAATCAGGAGGTGAGTTGTGTGTGGGCTCGGGCCCAGACTCCACAGCCAGCTTACCACAGCAGATGATAACAGCTCCCTGAATAGGGAAAAATCATGGTTCTTTGTACTACATTATATGTTACTATTACTGGTGCAGAGGCTGGGAGAAAGGGTGTTTTTTAGAGATAGTCTGGGCTGTTAAAAACTGAGTTTAAGAGGGTCAGAATGAAACCTCTCATTACAGGAGGGTAAATCCACATAGCGTTTCAGCATTCTGACCTACTTTTGTTCATTTCTTAGACCCCTTCGCTAAAAGCAAAGTTGCCTAAAAAGAGAATTGTGCAAGCTTGGTGGTAGGTACGTGGGTATTTATTATACTTTTCCAAAAGCTCATTTGTAGGCATAAAATATTTCATAATCAAAAGGACAATGTTTTGTGGGCATAGTCATTATAACCATGTTTGGGTTCTTTATTTATCAAAGAAAAATCAGAAAAATACCAAAGCAATAGAGTAAAAACATGAATGCACTTCATCCAATGGTTGACATTTTTTAATGCATATAAACCTATATATATGTTTATATATGTATATATATGTTTATATGCATTAAAAATATATGTGTGTATAGATATGTATGTTTACATATATACAACTGTCTATAGGTATGAATTACAGGATCACATTGTATCTGCTTGCAGTAGCCTGTGGTTTTTCCCTCTTAATATATTGTAAGCATATTTCTATGTTCATAAATATTCATTTGCTATACTATATTTGTTGGTTGCCTTATAGTCTGTTATTATTCTATTATTATATTCTATGCAGTATCTGTTATTAGATACTTAGGATATTTTCAGATTCTCGCTATTGTAAACAGTGCTTCAAAGAATATCCTTGCATCTAAGACCTTATCCACACCTATGACAACTTCTTTAAGTGAAATTATTAGAAGGATATTGAATAAACAGTTTGTATGAAAGAGGGCAAAATACTTGCTATTATTTTAAGCAGTCCATGAACGATCCTGCCTTGCTTTTTCTCCTCAATGTCAACTAGGCACAGATGCTTCATAGATGTTTATAGTCATGGAGACATGTTCTATGGAGGCGGGGGTGGGGTCTGCATGTCCTAGAGCATCTGTGGATAACAGTGATCGGGGACAGCTCCAGTAAGGAGAAACTTCAAACACATCCATGATGGGGGGTCCTAACAAAGGAATGGGGGCACCCATGGTTGGGGAGCGATACGGTCAAAGGCGCAAGGATGGCATGAAAGCCCAGAAATAAGCAGACTGATAAATGCAGCTGTCTGGTTAGGTGGCCCCTGATGTTTTTGCCACCAGCCTCTCCTTTCTCTGAACCCCCTACGGAATGTAAGTTTATATCGTCTACTTTAACAGGGCAAAATCATCTCCTCACATTGTTCTGTCACCGAATATTTGCTATCATTGCTCTCCCAATGGGATTGTAAAGTATTTGGGGGCAAGGAACAATACCAGCCCCTCAGAGGCCCCAGCTGCTCTGAACAGAGAAAGTAATTAGCAGAGATCTGGAAACCTGTTCCATGGTCTGAACTGCCCCTTTCTGTCCTTGGATACCAATAGTTCTGCTTGTTTCATTTTTCCCTCTGATGCATGATTTTGTTTACGAGAGAGAGCTGGGATTATTAAACACACCCCTCCCTCCCAACACGCAAACTTTTTCTTTTTCCTAACAAACTTTTTTTTCAACCATTCAACCCAAATGATCAAACTTGTGATTTCAGTTTTCTATTTTTAGTGGTATTATTATTTGGGGGCATTTCCTTGAGCATCGTTTTCTCAACCTGAGTATTTTGTCACCCAGTCACTAAGTGTTGCACGCCAGGTTTGTCATTATAACCCCTGGGTGCTGAGAAAACAGGAAGGGAAAATCAGCATCTTTATGTAGCCTTTATCTAGTGGGGTGGTAGAAAACAATTTACTCTCCAGGGCTATCCTTCTATAGCTTCTTGCACTGAGCTGCACCAAATGAAGCACAAAGTCAGGTTAAAAAAGCCACTGATGGTTTTCTGTGGAGCTCAATGAAAAGATACTTGCTTCAATAGAAGTTTCTGTGTTGGGGACTCTGGCCCAGCAGCAGCTGTGTTTTTCAGCCTTTGATTGCTGCAGAATCACCTTTCTGGCAAACGGAGAGGCTGTGTTTCTATTTCCATTACTAAATAACAGCACAGGGCCAGGGCCATGAGCGCTTTCCTACCCAGAGCCAATATTTCAGCCCCGATGTCCTGAGACAGTCATTTACATTCCTAACATGTAATGATTTTTCGTATACAGTATTTCAACAAAATGTTTGTATAGTTCAACAGTTGTTCATGGCACAAATGAAGGAAAAACAGGCGATAATTTATACAACTGTGTGATGAAGAATCACCAGTTGCCATTACAAATGTGCCATGTAATTAACACCAATCCTTTGCAAACTCTTCTAAAAAATCAAAGAGTAGGGAACACTCCTAAAATCATTTTATGAGGCCAGCATTATCTTCATATCACAACCAAACAAGACCTACTAGAAAAGAAAACTACAGGCCATATCCTTGATTAATATAGATGCAAAGATTCTCAATAAAATAGTGCAAAATAAATTCAGTAGCACATTTAAAGGATCATTCATCATGATCAAATGGGATTTATATCTGGAACGCAAGGATGCTTCAAAATACGCAAATAAATCAATGCAATACATCAAATTAATAGAATGGAAGAAAAGAATTATATGATCATCTCAACAGATACAGAGAAAGCATTTGACAAAATTCAACATCCATTTGTGATAAAAACTCCTAGCGAAGAAGGAACATATGTGAATATAATAAAGGCCGTATATGACAAGCCCCCAGCTAACATCATACTCAGTGGTGAAGGGTTGAAAGCTTTTTCTCTAAGATCAGGAACAAGACAAAGATGACGGCTCTCACTATTCCTTTTAAGTATGGTACTAGAAGTCCTAGCTAGAATAATCAGGCCAGAAAAAAACAAAAACAAAAACAAAAATGTCAGAATTGGAAAGAAAGAAGTGAAATTGTCTCTATTTGTAGATGACATGATTTTATATATAGAAAATCCTGAAGACTCAACCAAAAAACTGTTAGATCTAATCAAGGAATTCAGTAAGGTTGCAGGATACAGAGTCAATGTATAAAATCAGTAGTATTTCTATGCAGTAGCAAGAACTTTTTTTGAAAAAGAAAGATATCTATCCCATTTACAATAGCATCAAAAACAATAAATTATTTAAGGAATGACCAAGGAAGTAAAAGAGCTTTACTCTGAACATCACAAGACCTTGATGAAAGAAATTGAAGCCACATATAAATGGAAAGGTATCCCATGTTCATGGATTAGAAGAATTAACATTGTTGAAATGTCAATGTTATCAAAAGCCATCTATAGATTCAATGCAATCTCTATTAAAATTACAATGGCACTTTTTTTTTACATAAGTGGAAAACAATCTTAAAACTTATATGGAAGCACAAAGACCCCAAATAGTCAAAAAATAAATCCCAAGAAAGAAGAACAAAGCCAGAGGCATCACAATTCCTGATTTCAAGCTATACTATAAAGCTATAGTCATCAAAACAGTATAGCACTGGCATAAAGACAGACAAGTAGACCAATGGGACAGAAATTGATAGCCCAGAAATAAACCCAAGCATATATGATCAACTAATATTTGACAAGAGAGCCAAGAATACTCAATGGAGAAAGGACAGTCTCTTCAATAAATGGTGCTGGGATAGTTGGAAATTCATGTTCAAAAGTATGAAACTGGACTCCTATCTTACACCACTCACAAAAATTAACTCAGATTGAAGACGTAAATGTAAGACCTGAAACCATGGAAGTCCTAGAAGAAAACAGAGGAACAAAGCTTCCTGACATGGGTCTTGGTGATGATTTCTTGGTTATGACACCTAACACACAGGCATCAAAACAAAAAATAAGCAAGTGGGACTGCACTAGTCTAAATAGCTTATGTACAGCCAAAGAAACCATTGACAAAGTGAAAAGACAATGGAATGGGAAAAATATTTGCAAATCATATAGCTAATAAGGAGTTAATATAAAAATATGTGAATAGCTTATACAGCTTGATAGCAAAACTCCAAATAACTCAATTAAAAAATGAGCAGAGGGCCTGACTAGACATTTTTCCAAAGAAGATATACAAAAGGCCAATAAATACATGAAAGGATGCTCAACATCACTAGTTATGAGGGAAATGCAAATTAAAAACTAGTCATGCCTGTTAAAATGGCCATCATCAGAGAGATAAGAGATGACATATGCTACTATGGAAAAAGTATGGAGGATCCTCAAAAAATTAAAAATAGAACTACTATATGATCCAGAAATTCCACCTCTGGGTATTTATCTGAAGGAAATGAAAATACTAACTTGAAAAGATATGTGCACCCTCATGTTCATGACAACATTATTTACAATGGCCGAGGCGTGGAAACGATTAAGTGTCCAGTGATAGATGAATGTATAAAGAAATTGTGGTGTGTGTGTGTGTGTGTGTGTGTGTATTAATGGGTGTGTGTACATCCAATGAAATATTATTGAGCCATAAATAAGGAAATTCTACCATTTGTGACATGTATGGACCTTGCAGGCATGTTATGTTAAGTGAAATAAGTCAGACAGAGAAAGACAAATACTGTAAGATCTCACTTATATGTGGAATCTAAACAAAACAAAACAAAACCCAAAACAAATAACTCATCCCCCCAAAGCCATACTCATAGAGAAAGAGATCAGCCTTGTGGTTATCAGAGGTAGAGGGTCGGGAAGTAGGAATTGGAGGCAGGTGGTCAAAAGGTACAAACTTGTAGTTATAAATAAGTCTTAGGGATGTAATGTATACCATGATGAGTAGGTTACACTGTTATATGACATGTAGGACAATTTGAGAGTAAATCCTAAGATTTACTTAGGAGAAAATTCTTTTTTTTTTTAATTTTTTAAAAAAATTATTTATTTCTGAGAGACAGACAGAGACAAAGCATGGGGGAGGAGTGGTGGAGAGAGAGGGAGAAAGAGAAACCAAGGCAGGCTCCAGGCTCTGAACTGTCAGCATGGAGCATGACTTGGGACTTGAACCCACAAACCATGAGACCATGACTTGAGCCAAAGTCTGATGCCCAACCGACTGAACCACCCAGGCGCCCCGAAAATTCTTTTTTTTCTTCTTCCTTTTCTTTTTATTGTATCTATATGAGATCATGGATGTTAGCTGCACCTGTCGTGGTACTCGTTTCACAATCTGCGTAAATCAAATCATCATGCTGTCCCCCTTAAAATTATACAGTGAGGTGTGTCAATTATTTCTCAATAAAACTGGTAAAAGAAGAGGCGTGCCATGTGACTCTTCCCCAATGCATGCTGCCTAAAAAGCAACAACAAACAACATCAGCAGCAACAACAACGACAAAAGAAGCAGTAGAAATTTAAAATGGTGCAGCCGTGTTGAAAGTTGTGGCGATACTAGCAGATAATAGAATGTGCTCCTGAGATGCTGAGCTGTGGGTGGCTGACCCGGGATTTTGAAGCGATCCTCTGATACTCGAAATCATTTCAAGGTTAAATGGAAAACGTGAGCTCGGATTATCTGAATCCTCCTGCACCTGGATAACGTATAAAAAGGGAGCGAGAAACGTAACCTGTGCGAGTGTCGCTGTTAGTGCGCCGTTCTCCAGGACGTATTTCCATTGCTAGAGAGCAGCCTGACCATTCACTTCTTTAAGTTAGCTGCTCTGACTCTGAACATTATCATTTTTGTACGAAGCGGAGATTATGAAGGACTGACCTTGTTTTGAAGTGTTTATGTTAATTTACCAGTCTTTAGACCATTTAGTGTATGGACAAAGTCCTACGTATCCTGAAAATAAAGATGGGAACACTCTATTCAGAGACTACGCCAACGTCTGTTATTATATTCTCACAACAACACTGCTAGGTGCTTGTAATTAATCTCATTTTACAGACGAATAAACAGAGGCCCGGAGAGGTGAAATGAAAAAGCTAATAAGTGGTAAAGGTGTGAATCAAACACAGGTCGATCTGATCTCCAAGCCAGCGTGCTCAGTCACTCGGCTCTCCCAAATACTTTATACTAGAACCCCTTTCGTGTTTCTGACACAGAAACTTCTCTGACCTGGAGGGCTTAAAAATGACTGTGCTGATTACAAGATAACAATATTTCATTCCACTCGATTTCATTTCTTTAAAGGAGAAAAAAATCATCCATTTGCAGCTGATTGCTTTGCCCTTTTGTGCATCTATTTTGTGTGTGAAGGTTTATAGCAATGTATTGACTTTCTTCATTATCTAAATTTTATGCACCTAATGAGACTTGTTAGTGTGCTTAGTGACCTTCTTTAAAATTTTTGCAATAAGAACGCACCCCAAACAACTCATGTGAGTAGCTTTTAGTTGGTAAAATGCTTTCAGTGACCAAGCTAAAGCCATATATACTCATTTGTGTGAATGCTATTCTTGCAATTACTGTTGGAGTGACGGTTTCTCTGAGGTATTTGAAGGATGCAACTTGTTCAAGTTTAATGCCATCTATTATGAACTCTGCTGCATGCTGTTAATAGCTGGAAGGCATTGATTTTGTTTTCTGCTCTCTTATCTCAAGCCCATACATTTTGCTTGCATTATTGACTGTTCTGATCATTTCATGCACCACCTCTTTAGAAGATGTATGAATCAATGTCAGCCATGAAACTTAAGTTGTTTATTAGGCTGCCATGTAGGTTTACACCTTCATGAAAATCATCTAATGTGGTCGGTGTCAGACGTTTCAAACAATTGTTGACCAGGTCTGATGAAAGAGGACAGCCTTGGAACATGTCACCCCTGGAGGAGGAAAGTTCACTCAATTATTTATTTGGGTCACATGTTATACTTGACTGGATGCACTTTTTAATGATGTTAATTAACTTCTTCAGGGTGTTAAATTAGTTTAGAACTGCTATGATTATAGCATGACATAAATTGGACTCTCTATTCTAAGAGATGCATTTGAGTTTTACACACCGAAAGGATATTTTGTACCGAATTAGTGCAAAGGGCGCTGCACTGCTTACATTCGAGCCTACTTGATAGAGGACCCGCACCGACTTCAGATCAATTTCACACTTAAATCACAGAGTCAAAAAAACAAGTGTAGGAGCCTGAAAGCCTGTCCATCATTTTATACAATTACTGAGTTCTTTACCCAGCACCCAAAGAGCATCAAATTGCACCTCTAATCCAATAAAAAGTGTTTTCCATAATTAAGGCAATTATGAAATGCCCTACAAAATCCATTCTTAGGGTTCAGCTTCTAAGTGCTTCCTGTGCATACAGCAAATTTTGGATGAGTATAGGCTAGATTTTCTTCCCTAATTTTTACAATGCTTTTGATTCATGTGGCTTGCTTAGTATTTTGTGGGGCATTTTTCAAATATGGAGATCAGTTCTCCTGTCGGTATAGGAGGCGAAGGGTTGCACGGGGTTGCATTACTCATGGCCAATTTCTGGGACAGCCGTGGATCCAGTAATATCATGTGACTGGTTCTTCTACACACGTGGTGGGAGGGGGTTTTGGGAAAGTCTCCCTCGGCAATCAGTCACCCGGACCTGGACATAATGTGAAAACCCTGCTGACTAGTTAAAAATTAAATTCAGAAAAATGGTAATCAAATTGTCGTTAAGAATTTATTGCTCAGATATTTTTTTGATACAATTCATAATCAAATAGAAGTACAAGGACAATTTATTTTAAATATTATACATTTATGGGAGAGATGCCCTGTAGAGGCTTGAACTGTGTCCCCCTCCCCCCAAAGTATGGCCACCATGAACTTGAGAATGTAACTTATTGGTATAAGAATCTTTGCAGAGCTAAGGATCTTGAGGTGAGATAATTCTGGGTTAGAGAAGGTCCTAAATCCAATGATAAGTCCTGAGACGAGAAGAGAGGGAAGAGAAGAGAGGAGAGGGAAGGGAAGAGGAGGGGAGAGATGAGAACCATTTGAGATGGAGGCAGGGGCTGGACTGGATGCCAAGGAACGCTGGGGCTCAGCCGCCAGCAGACCCAGGCGAGAGGCAGGAAAGAATTCTCCTGCAGAGCCTCCAGAGCGGACTGACCCTCTGGCGCCTTGCCTTTGGACTTTTAGCTTCTTGAGCCACGAGAAAATACATTTCTGTTGTTTTAAGGCGCCAAGTTGGTGGTAATTTGTTATGGGGGCCCGAGGACACTAATACCTGCTCCCAGCTACTTCCTGAGTCTGATACGCCGGTGTTGCTCGCTTCCTCCTTCCCATTAAGGAGTCTCCTCACCACGGCCCCTCCACTGGAACGCCATTTGCTGCCACTTCTGTCTGCTGAGATCCCCCAAGCTTCCAAGGCCAGCTCACGTAGCCCCTCATCTGCCGGGTTCCGGTACCTCTCTCTTCTCTGGATGTCCATAGCACGTGTCTCTATTTCCAGGGCACTGCTGCCCACGTCCGCCTTATATTATGCTGAACGTATTTGTTTCCTCCCTTGATGTTTGGAATCATGCCTTGTTCAGCTTTAAATATGCTAGAATGCTTAGCACAGACCTTCGTCTATAGTCAGGTTTCAAAATATGTTGAATCTAATTGCATGGCATCCTTTGCCATGAGAAAAATTCTGTTTTTGTTTCACAATTTGGGTATCAAATTGTGTATGCAGAAGAAATTGAAGCCATGGGAGAAGTAATTTCAACAAAGCCAAAATTCGATGATTCTAAAAGCAAGCGTTGTAAGAACTGCTTATATTTCAATATGTTTTTGAATGAAAATATGTTGTTCAATGGATAATTCCAAGTCCAAATATTTTCCTGGGGAATATGATGTTGAATCATACTTACAGTTGGGGATAGTTAATTCACTGTGTTAATCAGTATGCATTTGACTTCTCTATTTTTAGTCATATTAGTTACTGAGATATTCTTCTGAAATACTTATGCCTGCATAATAAAAATATTGAGCTAAATCTCTTCATTCAAGACTTTAAAAGCACCTTATTCACTGCTAGTTGATTTCTGACCGGTTTGTTTAGCGATTCAAACAAGACGTTGTGTTTTGTACAAGACAATGCACTTTTAGAACTGCCGTGCGTAACATACTAATTGTGAAGTTTAAAAAGCAGTGTTCACCTGTGAATCGCCA